TAGGAAAGATGGAAGAAAGATTGGAAGATACTGTTTTTCCTAACTAGAAAGCTGAGTGCAGCATGTGATTCCTTGGGCATAGTTCAGGATGTGAATCATTCTGAGCCCAGATCTTTGCAAATGATCAAAATGGCAGTATCACACTAAAAAAAAGAGTACTGATCTTCCACGTGAATGAAATCCGTAGTAAATCAATTGTGACATTGCTGTTAACTTAATGACTCTTGAATGTGTTGTTAGCTACGGCCACATTATACTTTTGTGTATTTGTGGTATGGTTTCTATCAATCACTTGTCAGATGTGCTCACTTTTGAGTCTTTAATCAGGACCTGAAACCGAACTGTTGAATTAACAAGTGTCAGTGCAAACTGACTTCTCTCTTCTTTCCTGACTACCACTGGTGGCTTGCCTTGCTCAGAGGCTATCTGACACATCCCAGACATACAAAGCCCCCAACTTATAGACATGCTGGGTTCTAGAGAGTCATCTGAACATAAATCAACATACGTTTTCCCCTAAAAACAACCATATAAGTGGTGATAAGGTTTTCACCATACGCATCTATTTCATATTATAACTGGACAACAGGACAGAGAAAATGTCTACTACTTGAAGGATGATTACAACATGAAAGGTCACCATTTTTCAGCAGAACTTAAGAAGTTTTTATAAAAATTTTATAAAAAGGAAGTCCTTTAAACTGGATTGTAGTACATGCAGGGAATTCTAACTATTTGGGAAGCTTAGGCAGGATGACTACAAGTTCAAAGTCATCCTGAGCAACCTAGTGAGACACTATCTCAAGATAAAAAGGGTTGTGATATACTCAATGGTAGAGTGTCTCTGAGCTCGATTTTCAGGACTGCATAAACAAAACAAAAATAATTTTAAAAAACAGTTTCTTCAGTGAAATATGTTAATACATTGACTGATAATAATGACTTTATGGGTGAATATATGTGTATGCTTGGGGACCTTTTTACTGAATAATTTACTCGTTAAAAAAATTCTAATAAGAAAACGTTGCTATCATTCCAATACAGCTATCATTGAAAAAGGCACAGAAAAGTTGCACAGTTAATAACTAGCAAACTAAGATTTTTATCACAGAGTACATGGGCCAAACCAGAAGTTGACAAACTATGACCCAATGGCAAATCTGGTCTGTCCCTTATTTTTTGGCAACAAAATTTTATTGAGACACACTGTGGATACTATAGAGACAGTATCACAGCAGATGCTGCATGGCCTGCAAAGCTCAAAACATTTACTGTCTGATCCTCTTCAGAAAGTAGTTGCTGAGCCAGAGCTAACCCATCCTCTGCACTACCTCCAAGGAAAACAGAGCCTTTCCAACTCTGGCAATAAGACTCATTCACCAGAGACCCACAGTAAGGGGAAATTCAGGAATTCTGATGCTCCGCAACAGTGACAGGAGCAACGGCAGGTAACAAAAGTTACACCTGCACAAGGTGTTTTATTTCTTTCTCAATAAGCTCCTCACTTTATCCCCTCCCTCTCCATAAGACCAGGGCCCACAGGCATAAAACATAAACTCCACAGGAAGAAGAGACTGTTTGTTCACTACTGGAATCTTATTTGCTGAACAAATGAAAGGATATAGAATTTATGTTTATAACACAGGGACATATGTACTTCATTTGAAGACAAAACACGGAACAAACTAAAGGCCCACAGACTCGCTGTCCATGAATATTATGACTGAGGTTCTGGGCCGGGCCACGTTTCAGGCAGACTACTCTAGCAGGGCCTGCGTTAGACAGCAGGGCTTTTCCAGTCGTCCTGAAGCTTCGCTTGTGGATCATCTTTTTTGCCAAGATTCTAGAATCAACAATTTAAATTTAAAACATTTTCCATCTAATTATAAGATGAATGCTAATGCAGCAGGCAGAGCTGTAAATGCTCATTTGTTTTGATTTTCCTTTCATCAGACTGAATGACTTTTGATTGGGGGGGAAGGAAGTGAAAGCTGCAGGTAACTTTTTCTAGATAGCAGAGCTGGGTGTAGGAAGAACGCCATTGACTGGATGCTCTGCGAGGCCACAGAATGTCCCTGTTCCTGAAAGGGCCATCCAGCGTGTTCTGTTTCACTGTGTTGTGATGAAGCTTCCTCATCTGAGTGATACTGTCCCTGGGGGGTGGGAAGCATGGACACAGGAGGGAAGGCGGGGACTGATATGAGGGGAACAGTTAGAGTGGCAGCCATGCGGACAGAGTGGTACAGAGGGAAGCCATCGTGCTGTGTCCGGGATGCTCAGGGAAGAAACAGGATGGGAGCTACAGGAAGTTGTACTCTGATGCCACCTTGTTTGGAAAGGCTGGCTGTCCCCTGAACGGGGACTCTAGCCTTTCTGCCCGGTGTGTGGCCACTAGGGAGGGATCCTGACTTCAACATTTATAGCCATCAACTGAATACCATTGTAAGATTGTGCGCCTGCCTAAAATCCAGTTGGAATATTCCACTTAAACTGCAGCATGGCGTTGCCATGTGATTCTAAGGATCTTTCCTCTGCCATCATCCTGGCTTTCTGCCAATGTCTCGCAGTTGTGTTTTTACAATGGTCAGAATAAACAAGCTCACCCACTTGGAGCGCATCTAGGAAATGAAGGTGGAAGATACGTGCAGAGAAAGCCGGGATGGAATTCTTGCAGGAGCTCCAGGTGCAGATTCGGGGGGCTGCACAGCGGGGGCCTAGCCCCCCGCCACTCCGCTGACCTTGCCACTCTCTTCTGAGGCCACACAGCCCCAGGCTACGACTTGGTTGCTCTTCCAAGTTCAGCTGTCCCAAGAGGGAGACAGCAGCCAGTGACACACATGGCCTCTAAATGCCTTTAAAGAAAAATGCTTCACTTTTGGCCTCAAGCTCTCTTGCTGGTAGTTTATATTTTTATTTTTTAGCCTGTAAGTCTGACCTTTATAAAAAGATGGACTCACTGCCCAGAAAAACAGGAAGATCATTCACCACAAAGCTAGGAAATAAAGCATCACAAGTGGGCTGATCTCTCTGTCGGTACTGCAAATGACAACACCAGGCTGTGCCTCTCTCGCATGCACCCGGTACCCACGTTTCTGACCAGTGGCTGCTCATGGGCCCTCTGAGGGCACAGAATTCAGTGAGGCTCTTGCTGGCAACTCAGGTGTCTGTCCTGCCTGAGACAGCTGAGGAACGCTAGCACTGTGCCCCAGAATGCTCCCCAGGACCCATCACACATGCGATGCGACACTGGGAGGGGGTTCAAAGGAGCCTTCCATCCAGGAGTCCAGTCTGCGTCCTCAGTGAAGGGTGAGGGTGGTGGCAGATAATGAAGCAAGTGAAGAAAAAGGGAAAAAGACAGAAGAGTGAGGAAAGGAAGGACAGAGAGAAAGTGGGAAGGAAACGAGAAAAGGGCTGTTCCTGTCAAAACTTTGACTTTCATCTTGTACTTGAAGTACTCTAAATATTACAAGGGTTCTTTAGAAAGAACCTCACTCTCATTTTATGTATGCTGCCTTTTATATTCCTATATTTTTTAAAAAGCAGAGACTGGGCCTGGGGATTTAGCTCAGCGGCACAAGTGCCTGCCTTGCAAGCGCGCAGTCTTGAGTTCCATCCCTGGTACCAAAAAAAAAAAAAAAAAAAAAAAAGCAGAGACTGCAGGCTGGTTATCACTGGTTGGCACCTGCACCAAAAGCAATAAATGTATGCTTGACCTACACAAAATATTAAATTTTAATTAGCTGCCAACATGGAAAAAAATTCAGACTGTGTCACATCAAATTCCAGATTTTTGGCCTCTCCTGAAGAATGGGACCAGTGTGTATACCAGACAGTGACAGCCAACACTGAGCAGCAGTGGCTGCCACGTTTGGATGGGCTCCGGCTCAACCTGGTCCCCGTCGCTCCCTATGGTCTCATCAAACCTGAGGTCTGCAGCTAGTTACCATGCACTTATTTATTTCATTTTAAAAAAGCAAAGCAAAACAAAACAAAACAAAACAAAAAGGATAGAAAGGATACAGAAATTAAAAAAAAACTAGGCAATTAACACCAATTAATATATTACATAATGTTATTGTAGAAGTAGATGCTCAGGTTACAAGATATAGGTACGAAAACTACGAACAGCACACAATGAAAGCACAAATTGTTCTTTTTGATGAACTAGCCAACATTAGTCATTTAGTTAGCTATCTTGCATACACACACACACACAAGTTAGCTAAGATGACTATACTACTAATTGCATTAGTTCTTGGAAAAGAACAGTAATGCTCCTATGATCGGATCAATTTTACATGTCTATATCTGGGAATCTATTATTACCTTTTGAAGGTAACAATATGCAATATTGCAATCATTATTAAATTCCTATCATCTTGTTTTGAAAATCTATACCATTATTGTTTTGGGTTTGTTGTTGTTGTGGTTTGTCTCTTGTGCATTTTGTTTTTCCTTTCTATGTCTTTTTTTCTCTTAAAAAAAAAAAAAAAGAGTATCCACTGTCACAAAGTTAAAAAAAAAATTTGCTGAAGTTTGATCTCTTAGAACCAAAAAAGGAAATTTTTGCTTTTGCTAGGAAATAAAAAGTTCAGAGGCTGGCATGATAGCATAATTACACTCAGATTCCTCTAGAGGAGAGGACCAAAAATCGTGCCTTTTGGAGGAGCCCGTCTCTGCCAGAAGGACTGCACACTCAAATCTTGCTGTCGCCCCCATGTGTGCAAAACAACTTCTTAAGCAGAAATCAACAATGCTCTCATCTCTGGGACATTCCCAGGCTTCATTCTCCAAAGGACAATAGACTCGGAATGCCAATAGCTTGCAAATGGAAGTAATTATATATAATATCTACGTTTTTCAATAAAGAATATGAGTGCCTAACATTGAAATTGCTTTTTTGCTTTCAACTGTGTGACCACAAAATTCTGGCCCTCACTGGAGTTATGCTTTGGAGAGTGAAGAGAACATGTTTCCTGTAGGATTTTTGCAATCCTCACCTCAAATTTCTGCCTGAGCTCCATGTTGCCTTCTTCGTCCCCTTCTGGAATGGGCACGTTGTAGTACTCACCTTCCTCTTGGTTAAGCAACTTGTACCTTTCAAAGACACAGGACAGAAGGCAGATTAAGTGCAAGTTCAGCAGGTCTTCCCCACCCTCTACGTGAGCTGTTGGTCAAATGTCTGTTATGCAGAGGCTCCAGCCAGGTGACCAGACATCCACCCAGCACTACAGACTGAAGTCAGCTGCTCTTGGCATCTGCAACATGGTCTCCTACAGGGAGGCACAGGCAGGCCCCAGGGCTTCCTTACCATCCACTGGCTGGCATCTTCATGAGCTCTGACACTCCAAAGGAGAGGGATCCCATGAAGTCGTTCCTTGTAGTTCGATCCCAATCCCAGATCTCTACAGACAGTCGTCGGTCTTTGTCTGAAGGTTTTAATTTGCTACAAAGACACATGCATACACAGATGGGTTATCTTGATCATGGCTCAGACAAGCATACAGTCTGAGCCTGAGACAAAGGAGCAGTATTTTCAAGTCTCCTCCAGTGTCAATGGTTTACCAGTTTCCTATACTGGCTACCAAAGCTCCAGACAAAGGTTTAGCAAGCTGTAATCCACGGGCTAAATCCAATCCACTGCCACTTTGTGTATATAAAGTTTTAGTAGAACATAGCCATGACCACTAGTTTATACAATGTCCACGGCTGCTTTGGCATTAGAATGTCAAGAGTGGTATGAGGCAGCTGAGACTAAAATACTTAAACCTGGCCCTTTTTTGAGCCAAACTCTCTAGCTTCTCTGTAGTAGAAAGTTACCTTTCTGGTTACCTACAAAGAGACTGCTTCCTGAGTTTGAGTCCACAAAGAGGCCCACTTGTTTGTGGTCTGTGCTTCCCTGTTCCTAATTTCTTTATTCTCTCTTTATCATTCTTCCATCATTCTTCTCCTTCCACAATCTCTACTTCTGAAATCCTGGTAATTCTTCGATGCCCACTTCAAATGTCACCTCCTCCAGGAAGCCCTTCCTTCCAGGTCCCCTTTCAGTGGCAATACTACTTCCTACCTTATTCACTCATTCTGTGTTGTAACAATTACTGAATTTTTGACTCACACCCTCCTGCTGCCCTCAAAAGAATTTAAGCTCATCAAGAGGTGGGACATACCTTATATGATTTAAATCACCCACTGCACTTTAAACAAATTTTTTAAACAGAACAAGTAACGGTAATAATTTGGGACTTGCATTTGTAATTCCTGGTAAACCGAGTTACTATCTATTAACTGGTGGTGATGACTCACCCAGCAGGAGTCTGAGCAGGTCTTAGGAAGGAAGACATGTTGACCTCACTATTTCTAACAGTGAGCTTGGCAGTGTGTAGTGTGCAGAGTATAATTTAACCCAGGAGAGAACAGAGCACTTACAATGTGAAGGACTCGTTCCACTGGGGGTTCAGTGTGGAGCGGATGGTTTTGGTTTTCTGTTTGCTTTCATTCTTGGGATCAGGAATAAGTTTCAGCTTCACATAAGGATCTGAAAGTCCATTTGGATCCATAGGGATTAGATTTTTTGCATCTCGTACTGTGAAGAGAAAAGGGAGGAAATGTTACAAAAAGAGGACTGACCTGAATTGCTCAGCATCCTTTGTTAGGACCACACTGGATAAAAGACATTAAGATAGGCCAGGGATTTATCTCGGTGGCATAAGTCCTGCCTGGCAAGGGCTAGGCGGTGAGTTTGATATCAACTGGTATCAACTGGTATAAAAAGAAGACATTATGATAATGCTGAAAGGCACAGGAGATGAAACCTCCCAACCACTGACAATCACCATGAAAAAGCTGCTCACCACCTTCACTGGCAAAGACAATGGGCATCATGTGGCCCGGCCTTGAGGCTCAGTATCTGGCAGCCTGGAGTGGCAGCATCGATGACTCTCAGGCATTTATTGTAAATGCACAAAACTGGGTCCCACCTAAACCTGTGGAAGCAGAAGCTGTGTTTTAACAAGATTTCCAGTGAACTTCAGAGGCTCCTCATCTAGGCAGCCAGCCTGGTTAGTCCATGGTGCTCCCATGCCCTCAAGCCCCTGGTAGGTGTTGTCTCCTTCCAAACCCTGGTAGCTTGTAAACCTGGATATAATTTGAAATCATTTGGAAGAGGGCTTAAAATTCCAATGCTCACAATTAAATTACAATGTCCAGGAGATGTGGACCTGAATTTTAAAAGCTTTTCTGGGGATTCTATTGTGCAGTAGGGATGGAGGTATAATTCAGAGTTGTTACCCAGGTACAGATTGGGGGACCAGAGCATCAACCTCAGCTGAGAGGTCATTTGATGGAGAGAGTCCTAGGCTTTACTTTACTAACTCAGACTTGTCATTTTACCAAGGCTCCCAGGGGATTCCAGTGCACATTTTAGTTTGAGAAGCATAACATGGGAAAAAAATATCCTACTAATGAGAAGGAAAGGCCTTCCACCTGCAGAGAGAGGACGGCTCAGAGACATAGCTGGTAACTGCTTATGTCAGTGGGGGCTGTCTAAAGCTATAGCACATTTATCGTGATGACGAGAAGGGACAAAGGTCTGGGCCTCCCTACCCACAGTGTCGTATTTGCTATCTTCCAATGGCATTTTTCCCCACAAGAGTGAAATTTCCCATCACCAGGGTTCCTAATCAGACAGACACCATCGATATATATGTGACTGGCTGTTCTCACAGTGTGGTCCCTGGGCCAGCAGCACTGGTATCATCTGCTGAATCCAGGACTCTGGAGCGCGTTACAGAGATCTGTTCAGCAAATCTCCAGTGATTCTGACACATGCAAAAGTTGCAGAACCACAGATCTAGCAGTTCAGTACAGATAAACAGTAGAATTTGACCGCTAAGAAGTATAGAAGAAATTTAGAAGAAAGTGGGCAGCCAATAAGGGAGGAATGGAGAATGCTAAAGATGTTCGATATCTGGACACAGACAAGGGAGGTACGGCCTTAAAAGCAGAGGTAAAGACAAGCTTTCCCTTCACTAGTCAGTGGCTCCACTGTATGCAGAGTCCTGTACACCTGAAGATCAGTGGCCTTATGTCTTTTTAGCTGGCAGCCTTAACATAGGAAGGTGACAGAAGGGACCTAGTCAATGGTCTGAGAAGGGGATCTGGCCACAGAGAAGCTGAACTTAGTAAGTTCCTCACATTCCATGTGTGCCTCCTTCACATTTCTGCCCAGAAAACACTAGCTAACCTTGTGTCTTAGTTACTTTTCTTGTCACTGGGACAAAATTTCAGATACTCATAACTTAAAGGAAGAGAGGTTTATTTTGGTTCAGGAGTTTTTGAGGACTCAGTCCATAGTTGGCTGACTCCAAGGCAAGAAGGACACGGTGGATGGAAGCTGCTCAGGAAGCAGACAGCAAAGAGAAGAGGCAGGGAGGCAGGTACACCCTTCTAGGGGATCCTTCAACAAACCACCTCTCCCAACCAGGCCCCCTCCTTTAGCACATGCAGCTATGGATTCATTGACTGATGAGACTAGTCAAGACCCATCACCTTCTAAAGCCCACCTCTGAACACATGAGCCTTTGGGGAGGCACTGAGATCCAAAGCAGCACCTCATCTAGCTCAGGAGTGGACAGAGCATAAACACACAAGCATGGGCACTGCTGCTCAGCAGATCTGCTTTTAAATCCTGCCTCCTTCACAGTTGTAGTCCCAAATACCAGAGGTGACATCCTTGAGCCCTTGTTTCATCAACTAGAAAAATGAATAAGACCCTAATTCTGGTGGTATAAGCTTCCTGGGAGAACTGAATGAAATGATGTACAGAACGTATCTTACGTGGGGGCCCAGAAAATGGTGAGGGAGATTTAATAATGTGATTACTCACCCTCGGTACAGTGTCTCAGATTTAGCCCTATAATTCATCATTTTGAAATCTTTAGTGACACAGGAGAACTCCAGAGGGCTCAGACACTTGAAAATTCACCTGAGATTGTAAGGTTTAATGCAATTCAGAAGGTCTAACCTCCTAAAAGTCAACCCCAAGAATCACAAAAAATGAAAAATTTTGAGTGTAAAAGAGAACGTCTTTCATAAGTAACAGAAACAGGCTAAATAAAGGTCTGCTTCTGCTTTAAACACCAGAATGAGAATCTGATACATTTTAAAAGGTGGAATGTGCCCTGGGATGTCTAACATTGGAGGTTGCAGAAGGTCACATTCCAGATAAGCTAATGACGAACCTTATCAAGGCCACCAAGAGCTTCAGCGTTGCCCCCTGCCATTTACTGAATGATTACGGGTACTGGCTTTTATGTCTTCAGTTTATAGGCTTGACAGCCAGCACACATAAAATCATTTAAGGCTGATTTCTTCCAAATGATGAGCTAAAATCTTGATGGGATTTAAAGCTGTGGGCTTCCTGTGGAGATACCATCATTTAAGTTGGAAATAAAAAGTTATCAATTCCAAATGACATTGAAGCAGACAGTGGGTCCCAATTTCAATCTCTTAGTGTGGCAGGGAACAGTCTTGTGATGTGCGACTCATTGCATGCCAGGACACTTGAATTGGGATTATAAACAACTAGGGGTCCCATCTGTTGAGAATGTGGGCTTTGGTGCATTGCTGCCTGAATGGGAATTTTGGTTCTGCCACTTCATAGTTGTGGGCAAGATATTTAAACTCTCTGTGCCTCAGTTTCCTCATTTGAAGAGCTGTATCTCCCTGGTATATTAGCATGATGTATTACCCTGTTTGATGATTGATCCATAGGATGTTTGATATATCAGAATAACAAAGGTTCATATATGTAAAGTGCTTACAGCAGCAACATGCTAAGAACCCCAGAACAATTATTGTCAAAAAAAAAAAAAAAAGCACCCAGTGGAGAACAAAACCCAAAAAGCCTAGATATTCAGAAACTAGACTGTTGGCTACTGAACTGCCAAACAAATGCTGTTGAAATCATCCAACATGGTTGCAACTGAGTTAGTGATTTCAATAGTTGTCTTAAAAGCAGCAGCAGTGACCAAGGACATTGATAACAAGAATAGCTCTCCTCCTATCTGGGGGACAGAAACTAGGAAACAGAAAAGAAGAGGAAAATTAAAGTACAGGGAATGGGCTAGAAGCAGATGGAAAAGGAGGATAAAATGCAATCAGGATGTGGGGTCAGAGGTAGAAAAATGCTGCCCCAGTGCAAGCAGGAAGCTGATCTTAGCCTCAGCTACAAATGGAAACGTCTGGAAAATTTGAGTCAAATACTGATGCCTGACTCCACCCCAGGGAGTCACAGTTACTTGATGTAGGTCGTGGGCCAGGCATTAGGATCTTCCAAGCTCCCTAGAAGAGTCTATGTGAAGCCTGGGCTGGGTATAGCTCACTGATCCAGCAGTGGTTCTGGACTGGCCTGACTAGTATCACTCACAAACTTGGACTATTATTTTCATCTTTCTTTTAATTGTCTTACTTTTTAACATCCAACATTAAAAGTACAAGTATCACTGCAGTAAAAGAAAAGCCAAGGTTGCCATAAATAAGTATTCATGACAGTAAATATGGTGAAAAATCTGTTCGGCCTTTCTAGTTGGCTACAGTTACCAGAGGTCTGATCTCTCGTCTGTACAAGGGGAAGATTAGCAAGAGTTATAGTGTTAATGATATTCTAGCTCCAGACAGTATTCCTCTGCATTACAGCCAAGGCTGTGACGAAAACTGAAAAAGGACTTTCTCATCATGTAATTTAATGCTTTGAAACGTCAGTTCAGTATCTTCAGAAACCATCTCAGTGCTACCAAAAGTCATGCCCCTGGGTGGTCCCATCCCTCCCTTGGGAAGCACAGGTGAAGGAATGCCAGTTCTGAGGTTATGAAGTGTGGGAACTTTTCATAGCCTAAGAGAAGCAGTGGGCTCAAGAAGAACAGCCTGGAGAATATCCCATGGCTCATTGCTTGTCTCTCACCTTCTGCAAGAACAAATTGTTTTGATCCACAGAATTAAGACAGGAAAAAATCATGCTACTTTGATAAACTATTGAGGAGATTCTTTTTTTAAAAGAATGCCAATTCAAGTTTCTCAGTGTAGCAGTATAGAAATAGCCTACTTCCCTAGTACATAAGCTTGGCAGCGGAACTGAGTGCATCCACTGGGGCTAGCAGGATCTGCCCAAATGGGCCCAGAGCCCCATGGAGGGGCATGGTGGGAGCACTTTCCTGTGCAGTTCCTTGGCAGTTCCGCAGCCTGTACGAGACGCGGACATCTGCTGAAGAAATACAACATTGGCCATTTCAGAATGGAAAGTCTGTTCTGCAATTTCAGGACTTTCATAGAAATATAGAATACTAATTATATTCTCATCTTTTGGCTGGAGATGGCTGTTCTGAAATTATCAGCTGTCAAGCCCCAAATGAAGAGATACAGCCTGTGTTAGAAGGTTATATAATTTCTGGAAAACGTCAAATGTTCTTTCTGAATAAAACCCATCCAAATAACATTGAAGACTGAGGAACACCTGCCTAGACTGCTCTGATACAGGGGGCCAGGTGGGTGCAGGATGTGTGTGTTCTGAATAAATGTTTAGAAGTG